TGCCTGAGTAGGAAGTTGGAGTTTGGAGAGGAGCCAGAATGCAAACCCAGGCACTCTGACATGGGATGCAGGGTTCCCAAGAAACATGTGAACAACTACACCAAATGCTCACCTCTTCCATGAATGCTTTTAAGCCCCCTTGTGGATATCTATTATAACTTTTCACTGATTTTTAAAAATCAGCTTTAATAAACTTTGTTGTAGAAAATTACATACACATGAGACTGGCACTGTGGTGCAGTGGGTTAAGCCATGGCCTGCAGTGCTGGCATCCCATATGGGTGCAGGTTCAAGTCCTGGCTTCTCCACTTCTGATCCAACCCCCTGCTAATACACCCGGGAAAGCAGCATAAGATGCCCCAAATCCCTGGGCCCCTATACCCACTTGGGAGACCTGGATGAAGCTCCTAGCTCCTGGCTTTGGCCTAGCATAGCCCTGGCTGTTGAAGCTATTTGAACCAGCAGATGGAAGATCTCTGTCTGTCTGTCCTCTCTCTCTCTCTCTCTCTCTCTCTCTCACCCTACCTTTCAAATAAATCTTTAAAAAAATCAAAATGTGTCTCTCTTCTGACAACCTTCCTCTTGCACTGGTACCAGCTTTTCTGAAGAAAAAAAAAAATCAAGCACTTCAGAGAGCATCTGGCTTTGCAGAGCATGCCGGGATGCCTGGAGGACCTGATCCACCTCTGCTGCTTTAGCTAACACGCCTGCCTGTTGCATCAGTGGCAGGCAGGGAACCAGAAGCAGAATCAGAATTGTCGGCTAGTCTTGCTGTTTTCCTGAGACAAATCATAAACATTAAGGCATATTTATGGTTTAAAATAGAAGCTAAGATCACGTGAGCATTGACAAGTAAGGCTATTTAATTCAAGATGATGTGGTCAATCCAGATTCTTTTCAATGCAAAATTGTTTACATATTGTTTAGAGCTTACTTTCTTAGAACAGAGAGTCTGCAGGGGTGGAGAAAAATAACTGTCAGGTGTGTAACAATTTGATAAGCGTTTTCCCGATTTCCAGACCTCGAATTTCTTATGTGAAATTGTATTGCAATTGTATTGTATTGTATTGTATTGCATTGCAAGCAGTGACATGGCACACAGCAGGCAGTGACTGGCCTTCCTCATTAGGTCACTATATGTACTTTTGCTGGCTTCATTCTTAGGAAGATCTAGAGAAAGTCCAGAGAAAGGAAATCATTAAAGTCAAAGGGAAAGATTTAAATCCCTTCAAACTGCCATTTAAAGATGGTGGTTGTTGGACTTGCGGTAGAGCAGGTATTCAATATTCGCTGAATAGTAGGAAGAATTTTAAAAATTGACAACTAGCTGTATGACTTTCAGAGGAAGGAACCACTTAGGTTCATGCCTCTGTTTCTTATTTGTAAAGCCCATCATCTTTTCCAGCTATTGACTCAAAGATAATGTCAGAAAAAAAATCGGCCATATTGTACACTTTTCATGGAGAACTGATTCCTCCCCTTCAAAAGGGCTCCAAACCCAGCCACAGAGGTTGGTTTGGGCTAAGAGAGGTGGTATGGCCAGCGCCGCAACTCACTAGGCTAATCCTCTGTCTGCGGCTCCGGCACACCGGGTTCTAGTCCCAGTTAGGGCGCCGGATTCTGTCCCGGTTGCCCCTCTTCCAGGCCAGCTCTCTGCTGTGGCCCAGGAGTGCAGTGGAGGATGGCCCAAGTACCTGGGCCCTGCACCCCATGGGAGACCAGGAGAAGCACCTGGCTCCTGGCTTTGGATCAGTGCGGTGCGCCGGCCACAGCAAGCCGGACGTAGTGGCCATTTGGAGGGGTGAACCAACAGAAGGAAGACCTTTCTCTCTGTCTCTCTCACTGTCTAAAAATATTCCTGTCCAAAAAAAAAAAGAAAGAAAGAAAGAAAGATGGTATGATAATAATAAAAAGGTTCTATCCAATATCAGAAATTGCAAGAAGCTACTGAAGGGATTTGTGGAAACTACATCTGCAGGAATTTCTAAAAATAGCACAAACAAGGAAAGTGCAGGGAGCTGGTAGATCTAACAGTTCTTCCAAAAGACAGGAGATAGACCACATTTACTTTTTCAGGTTTCTCCAGCTCTGGAAATGGAGTAGACATTGTGTACTTATGAAATGAACTGGGGGACAGAAGCTTGGTCTGGCAGTTAAACTGAGGGTTAGAACGCCTGAGTCCCACACTGAAGTGCCTGAATTCTAGTCCTGGCTCTGGCTCCCAATTCCAGCTTCCTGCTGGTGCAGACCCTGGAAGGCAGTGGTGTTGAGTCAAGTTACTGGGTTCCTGCCACCCACCTGCAACACCTGGATGGAGTTCAGTTTTCTTTTTTTTTTTTTTTTTTTCTTTTTTTTGACAGGCAGAGTGGACAGTGAGAGAGAGAGAGAGACAGAGAAAGAGGTCTTCCTTTGCCATTGGTTCACCCTCCAATGGCCGCCGCGGCTGGCGCACCACGCTGCTCCGATGCCAGGAGCCAGGTGCTTCTCCTGGTCTCCCATGGGGTGCAGGGCCCAAGGACTTGGGCCATCCTCCATTGCACTCCCTGGCCACAGCAGAGAGCTGGCCTGGAAGAGGGGCAACCGGGACAGAATCCGGTGCCCCGACTGTGACTAGAACCCGGGGTGCTGGCACCGCAAGGCGGAGGATTAGCCTAGTGAGCCACGGCGCCGGCCAAGTTCAGTTTTCTGAATTCCACTGTTGTGGGCATCTGGGTAGCAAACCAGTGCATGATATCTCTCTCTCTCTCTCTTTTCTTTTAAGATTTATTTATTTATTTGAAAGGCAGAGTTACACAGAGAGAGGAGAGGCAGAGAGAGAGAAGAGAGGTCTTCCATCCGCTGGTTCACTCCCCAACTGGCCGCAACGGGCGGAGCTGTGCCAATCCGAAGCCAGGAGCCAGGAGCTTCTTCCAGGTCTCCCATGTGGGTGCAGGGTCCCAGGGAGTTGGGGCATCTTCCACTGCTTTCCCAGGCCATAGCAGAGAGCTGGATCGGAAGTGGAGCAGTGGGACTTGAACCAGCGCACATATGGGATGCCAGTGCTTCAGGCCAGGGCATTAACCTGCTGCACCACAGCGCTGGCCCCTCTCTATCTATCTCTTTCTTTCTTTCTCCCTCTCTGCCTTTTAAATTAAAAAAAAAAATGAGTTGGTGGCTTCTCTAAAAAAATTAAAAGCATATATAAGTGAGGTTTGAAGCTTGCTACCTACTGCTGAGACAAAGCTTCGCAGGATACAAAGTTAGGCAGTATCAACTGCGTAACACTAGTGTGCCTGTTACGTGCCAGTCATGAGCCAGGTGGACAGTGTCAAGCTGCCACTGTCAGAGATGGAGCACTCAAAGGGAAGGACAGCAGGATTGAGATAACATAATAACTACCTTGCTATTATGTTCTTTTTGCCCCTTCTGGCAAAATCTAACCTTGAAAACTACCACACTGTGCTGAGTCCTTGCAATAGTGATCAAAGAATCTCACCATGTCTTCAGTCTAAGTCCTTGTTCCATATTTCACAGTGTTTACGGTTTGACCAATTCCATTCAATTTTTCAACATCTGTCATTTGTCAAGCTGTTACTAAGCACAAGAAATGACAAAAGCAATTTCTCAAGGTGCAACTTGCTGCTCTCTGGATTCTGTAAATAGGCAGGAATCCCCTGGTTCTTCTCATAAGCCTTCCTGGAAACTACTTCGAAATGTGTGCAAGCAATGGCCACATTTCCCCTTCACAGTGCAGTCTGGGCAACGCTAACTGATTAGGGCCCAGAGCCACACTGGTGTGGACACCCACCAGGTGTCCCAGGAGGACAAGTCCTCACTTTTCAACAGTCCTACCATTAGAATATCAACACGGAGAAAGAGGAGATCCTGTTCTGCCATTTTAGGTTTTTAGAAGGAAGAAAACCAGTGTAACCAAGGCCCATAGGATGCCTCTACCTTGCAGGAAAAATATCCAACTTAAGAAACCAACCATCACTCAGTTACACATTTCTAAAGTGTTACAGAAACAGAAATGTGGAAACAGGGCAGGGAGGGCAGTGTCCCTTTGCTGTTTTATAAGTATGCTGAGAGAAAATTATTTTAAGTAAAACTTTACCTTTTTCTTGTGCTATATTGAACAGGTTTAGATAAACCAAATCTGTAATTTTTAAGATATAAGAAATGAAATTCAGCATAGAGCAGGGACAAGTAATAGTAACAGATTCAAGAGTACTTCAGGGGGCCAGGGCTGAGGCTGCACCTGCAGTGCCGGCATCCCATATGTGCGCTGGTTCAAGTCCCGGCTGCTCCACTTCTGATTCAGCTCTCTGCTATGGCCTGGAAAAGCAGGAGAAGATGGCCCAAGTCCTTGGGACCCTGCACCCATGTGAGAGACCCAGAAGAAGCTCCTGGCTCCTGGCTTCAGATCGGCACAGCTCCAGCCTTTGAGGCCATCTGGAGAGTAAAAATCAGTGGATGGAAGTCCTCTCTGTCTCTTTCTGCCTCTCTGTAACTCTGCCTTTCAAATAAATAAATAAATCTTAAAAAAAGAAAAAGCACTTCAGAAAGAGTACTTTTGAATTTGAAAGAGTAATTTTGAATTAAAAGAAATTTATTTTGAAATTCATTATTTTTTCATAATATACATTTCTCCAGAACTTTTTGGAGCCCTCTTGTATAGATTTCAATTTTTACACCAAAATAAACTTATCTTTTAATTCCAGTTTTTCCACAAAGTTTTTGAAGTACCCTTCCTATAGCTGACTTCTTGATTCTTTTAACAACCAAGCTATACTGATGAAAACCCTATTTAAAAAAAAAAAAAAAAAGATCACTACCCATACCATTGATTTTTGCTAGCAGGGCACTAAATAAACCTCCACTTCCTGTGTCAGGAGAGTTAATCTAAGAGTGATAGCATTTCATTCGAGACAAAGTTTACGTGAATCCCGGAACGGTGGACCAGTCAATGTCAGCACAGACTTCTCCAAGCAGCAGCTTCCAGCTGGAAACCGGCCTCTTACCTTCAAAGAACTGCTGCAGAGCCTCGTGTTCGCCGATCACCTCCATGGCGCCGGGGTCCTGATGCCCCTTCCTCATAAAACAAGAGTCGTCAGACTCCAGGAAGTGCTGTCCTCCCGGCTCAGAGTCTCCGCGTGCTCCTGAAAACCTTCATCTTCTTTGCAGGGGAGTGCGGCATGTCTTCAGCCATCGACCAGGGCCAGGGACATGGCTAATTCTCAAAGGTGATCCTGAAACCAGAAGTACATGCACCGCGTTGGGACAGCTCAGGAAGGGGGAAGTGGCCGCCAATCCATCTATCTCAATGCTGAGGACTGCTTCCACTCTGCCTTCTGTCTTTGTTTTAAGGACCTTTGTCCTCAGTGACACATGTAATTACATAAATGGGCAATAAATATGTAGCCTTATCTCTTATGTGTCCTTTTACACCAATATATTCTATCTCTGCCTTTATCAATCAGATCCATTTAACCACCAGCAAGATACAGAGTTTTTTTCTAACCTAAAGGGGGGGCGGGGGGAGACAAATCAATATAATAACTTTTATAGATACCTAGAACAGCAGGTGATTTTAAAAGGCTTGTGATAACGCAAAGTTAGGATTTGATGAAGATTTCCAGACTTACTTTCCAAAATGTAAGTGTAAACTTCCATTCCTCGATACACTCCTAGTTTTATTTCCTCCAGAATTTATTTCCATTGAAAGTCCATGAGAAGTCCTTCTAACAAGCAATAAAAACTGCATTACAAATTTAATAATCCTTACAACTAAACATATAGTTCACTATGAGATAGTTTCACTTCTAACTATAAAGCTATACCCAAATAAATGCTTTGTTTTTACTACTTAGCTATAATTTATTAATAGCCTAAGAAGAATACAATTAGGAAATTAAACTACCTTTTTAACCCTTTTCTTTGCTTTTTCTCAGTTTTTTATTTTAATAAGAATTATGAAATTATAGAAAACTGAAACAGTATCATGAAGTAGCCATACATTCCTCATTTAAATTTACTAATATTATTTTGACACTTTTGCCTTTTCTCTCTTGAGAAATCAATGTCTTTTTTTTGGTTGAGTCATTTGGAAACAAGTTGCTGAGATCTTGACATGGCACCCCTAATTAACCCAATGTGTATCTCCTAACAATAAAGCCATTCTCCCACCAACATCAAAACCATTATTATACCAAAGCAATATAATCTTTTTTTAAAGATTTTATTTATCTATTTGAGAGAGAGAGTTACAATGAGAGGGAGAAACAGAAAGAAAGGTCTTCCATATGCTGGTTCACTCCCCAAATGGCCACAATGGCTGGAGCTGTGTGGATCCAAAGCCAGGAGCCAGGAGCCTCCTCTGGGTCTTCCATATGGGTACAGGGGCCCAAGTGTCTGGGCCATCTTCTGCTTTCCCAGGCCATAGCAGAGAGCTGGATCTGAAAAGGAGCATCCAAGACTCGAACCAGCGCCCATATGGGATATTGGTGCCACAGGCAGAGGATTAACCTACTGAGCTACTTACTGAGCTACAGCACCAGCCCCAGCAATGTAATCTTAATTTAATGCTATCGTCCCATGCATAACTTGCACCATGCCCAAATTATCTATTGACTTTTGGTGTTCTAATCAGGGATGCCATGAATGTTCATGCACTGCTTCTGGCTGCATCTTTTTAAAATAAACAATAAGACATCAAAACATCACATGGTACCACATAAACATGCACAATTTTATGTGTCTGTTGGCAAAATTCTAAGCTTCTTTTGAAGGTCACATTTGGCCTCAGACCCATGAGGACAAGTCATCAGCTTATTTAAAGAAATGAATTTTCAATTTATTTCAATTCAGCTTATGAGAGGCTATCTGCTGGGTGCAGGAAATACAAAGATGATTAACAGACCTCCCATAAGCACCAATCTAGGGCATGAGAAAAACACAACTAACTATAACTCAAGTCAGCCTCTGATAAGATCCAGAGAAAATATCCCAAGAGAGCCAAGGGAGGAAAGATTAATTTAATCTGGAGAAATCTGGGAAAGTGCCACAAAGAGCCAGGATTTGAAGAGACTTCTACAATGGTTGTCTTTAAAAACACAAGCAATAGGTTGGAGGGAAGAGATCCTAGTGGGTGCTGTGTGCTTGGTGCAGTGAGAGAAGAGACTAGAAAAACAGGCTGAAGGAGGATGATGGTCGATTGTGATGTGATTTGATTCCCTATTCATTCTAAGTGTATCTATTGACATCTTCTTTGGGAGAGTGTGGGGCATGATATAATGACATCCAACTTAAAAAAAAAATAATCATGATTGGAATGCACTGACTAGAGCAGTCACTGAAGTTGGTACATCAGTTCCAAAGTTACTGCAAGAATCCAGGTCAACAGGAAGAACGTGTGAGCCAAGACAACAAGCAACCAAGGTACTGACTGGATCCAGAGAGCAAGGATGAAGTCAGTGTTTTTTTTAAAAAGGGCTTATATGCTTCTAGGAATTAAAATGCCTACAACATGCAGCTTCTGGCTACACTTAGATCCAAAGGACACTCCCAGACACATTCTGAAAGGTGGCCACACTGGCACCCAATACCAAATGTCGATTCTGGGTCGTCCCCAAAGTCCACCCAGGACTCCACACAGTCTCAGCTGCAGAGGAATGAGTGGCAGGAGACATCAGAGAGAAAGAAATTATATTGGACTGAAAAGCTACGTGAGAATTGAGGTTTCAAGCTCATCTACTTCTAGGGCCAGCAAGGTAAGTTAGTAAAATGGGTTAAAATCAGCAAAACTGTGCAATGTTAAGCATGTAAAGATAGCAGCCCTTAGCCTTGGTGTCAGCGAGACAACAGAGAGGGTGACCACAGAGGGAACTAGAGATCATGTGTCCTACGAACAGGTGGGTGTAGCCAGCCAAGGAGTAAAGTCACTCGGCTTCATTCAAGCCTTGCCAACCAAGAATTTAGGATTGGTGACATCAAAATGGCCAATATTAAAAGAGAAGCTTAAAACACATATTTTAATTTGAAATCTCCTCACTATAAAAGTTGGCTAGTGTGTTTAAAAACCAAAGGAACAAGCAGAAAAAATCAGGAGAATACATTCAAAGGCAAGGAGCTCCCGCATGAGGCACACAGACCCTGGGTGAGAGGCTGAATCAGAAGCCTTAGCAGGCTTTGTGGAAAGTAAAGGAAATTGAAAAGGAAGTTGCTGGAATTAATTAGTGTGCAGAGCACTTGACTGAGGGTTCACCCAGCTGGTGGCAGGTGGGATTTAAATGGAAATGTCACCTTTTCAGTGAATAAATACTCTGTTTCCTTGGTTGTGATCGTTACACCTCTAATGTTTTCTGATCCTCTTGACTTCCCCATTCAACACCAATTCAATAAAGATGCACTCTCTTGATGGTGACATTGCCAATAGATAAACAGATAAATGCTAAGCCAATGTGCTTAACTCCAGTGATGTGGTGATGGAAACTTTGTCTCCCCTCGAGTCTGTCCTTGAAACCTGTAGCTCCAGAACGTGGGACTCACAGCCACAGGCCTTGCTCCTGAAAGACCGTGTGCAAGCTGGGACTTCCTTGGGAGGCTGCCTGCAGGAATGTTTCAGGGGTTGAATAGGATTCCTCACCCCCAATCTGCGTGGCAACGGCTGATGCAGTCAGGGTGCAGACCCGTCCTAATTGGCCTTGGGAGGCCTTTGGGTTTTTTGTTTGGTTTGGTGTTTTTTGTTTTTTGTTTTTTGTTGTTGTTGTTGTTTTTTTTTTTTTTTTTTTTTGACAGGCAGAGTTAGACAGTGAGAGAGAAAGACAGAGAGACAGAGAGACAGAGAGAAAGGTCTTCCTTCCGTTGGTTCACTCCCCTAGTGGCCGGTGCTGCGCCGATCCGAAGCCAAGAGCCGGATGCTTCCTCCTGGTCTCCCATGCGGGTGCAGGGACCCAAGCACTTGGGCCATCCTCCTCTGCCCTCCTGGGCCACAGCAGAGAGCTGGACTGGAAGAGGAGCAACCAGGACTAGAACCCAGGGTGCCGGCGCCACAGGCGGAGGATTAGCCAAGGGAGCCACGGCGCCGGCTGAGGGTGGCTTTTGAGAGGTGAGATTATTTGAGTTCAAGTTCAGCCTAGTTTCTCTTTCTCTTCTGTCCAACTCACCATGTGGTTGTGCCTCCACACCCACCACGACCAACCTCCACAGACACCAGAGTATAGGACTGATGCTGAACCGTAATCTCCAAATTGTGAGCTGAAATAAACCTCTCCCAATGACGCTTCTCTCCCGGTGTCTTCTAAAAAGTAGTGCGCAGCAGACTAACACAAGCTGTTTCTGTTATTTTCTATATTTTGGCAAGTTGACTCCTCTTTTGAGAGCTTTGTGACTTTTTGAATTTTTTTAGCTTTAAAAATATTCACGAATTGTTTTTTAAAGCTGAGTTTTATTATTAGTTCTCTGTTAACAGCTACCAACATGAAAAGTCAGTGATTTTCTGTTGAGTTTGGATTTTTTTCCTGAGTGCAATGGAAAGCCATTAAAGAGCTCTCAGCAGGGAAGTACCATGCTCTGGCTTTTGTTTTGAAAGGATACAGTCTGCTGCCGTGGTAGTGACTGTCAGAGGAGTGGATGCAAGGACACCAAAACGAGACTACTGCAGGAGCCCAGGTGAAAGGGAGTCACAGCTTGGACTGAGTAGATGTAGTGGACATGCAGGGAAGTGGGTGGACTGCAGACCTGTTGTGGAGAGAGGTGATGGGATCTGCTGATGGATGGGTCTGGAGATGGAGATGGTAGGAATGAGAAAGCAAGAACAAGCCCTAGAATGTTGCTCATACAACTGGGCCAGAGTTCAGCCATGTTAGGTTTGTGAGGCCCATTAGAAATCGAAGTGGCTGGACTGAGCGAGCCAATGGATAGTCCAGAGCTAAGGGTAATGTCAGGGTTAGAGAAGCAGAGGCAGTAATCTCAAAGCCTAGCTTACTAAGTGTCAGACAGGTAGGCAGCAAGTACAGCGTGGAAACACTGAATCAGTGGATGACCCTGTCCCAGGCAGGAAGGTGTGGGCTGGCATGAAATTTCACCCTTATACTCCAAAACGACATATAGTTTTAACACTTACAAATTATTTCTGGAAATTTCTGCTTAATATTTTCAGATAGCAGCTGTGCATAACAGACGGCAGAAGGTGAAGCTGTGGATTAGGAAGAATTACTGTAGTTATCTGTTCCTTCTCCAGTCCTTTCTAAGTATCCATAGAGCCCTCCCCTCTCCCACCTTTTAAAATGTGTAAATTTCTCACTAGACTCGGAGCTGTGAGTCCTGGGACCTTGTCTTTCGTGCTGTATCCCCCCCCTAAAATAGCACCTCCACAAACATTGAATGGTACAGGTATGTCTGCATATCATCTGCTAGGTGGCAACTGTACTGCATTCTACAGAGAAAATGAACAACTACTTTCTAGCACAGAAGTTAAACACAAATACAAATTCGTTCTGTGTTGGACTCTTGTCTATTTTTAAGAAAGATTTATTTACTTGAAAGGCAGAGTGACAGAGCCCTTCTTTTTAAACATTGTGTCTCATAATAGAAACATTTTATCTAGAGAAAAACACACTAAAATAACTTTTGGAGGGGCTGGTGTAGTAGTACAGTGGCTTGAACTGCCACTTGCAAAGCGGCATCCGATATTGGAGGGCTGGTTTGAGACCCGGCTGCTCCACTTCTGTTGGAGCTTCTGGCTCACACACAGCAAGGTAACAAATGATGGCCCAAGTACTCAGGTCTGTGCCACCCATTTGGAGACCAGGATGGAGTTCCTGGCTCCTGGCCTTGGCTTGGCACAGATGTGGCTATTGTAGCAATTGAGAAAATGAACCAGCAGATAGAAGCTCTTTCTCTCCCTAACTCTGCTTTTCAAATAAATAAATATTTTAAAGAGAAAACTTTACAAAGACAAGACCTCTGAATAAAAGCAGAGAGAGACCTATTTAGACCATAGATGCACAATACCAAACCACAAAGGACTGATTTCCTGGTGATGAGTGAGGGGGTAGGCAGCGGTTGCAAGCTGCAAGGGTGTGGAACCTTTTCTTCTGCCGAGGGTCATTTGGATACTTATCGCATCATTTGGGGACATACAAAATTGTCAACGTAAAAATCGGCCTGTTACATAGATGTATTGGACCAGACCAAATGAGTTCGTGGGCCTCACACAGCCTGTGGGCTGGACGTTCTGCACCCCATCAAGGACTAAAACCCAGTGTTCAGAAAATAAATTTTGTTCTTCCAATCTAGATGCTATCTTATACTATACATAGTCAGGGCCATGATTATCACAGAGCTGGGGGAGACCAAGGAGAACATCCAGCCAGCCTTTACAGCAGAGGCCAGAGAGGAGGAGTGATCTGCCTGACTTGCCTGTCCTCTGCAAGCCTGGGCCAGAATGAAGGTCTCCCATGCAAACCCCAATCCAGAGCCAGCCTCTCCTCAGCTCTAAATCTATTCACAGAAACACTTCCAAAAATCAGTCACCTCTGGGCCTTCTGGCCAAGGTTAAGCATTGTACCTGTACATTCTCATCACTTTACTATCTCATACATCCTCGATCTGAGGACAATATAGTAAAGGCATTTTTGGAGCAGGGAGGTGGAATAGGAGTTTCCTGTGGCCACACATGGACCTGGCATTGCTGCACCTCCAGGAATGGTGCACCCGCTTGGGGACCTTAAAAAAACTATCCACGAGTGTTTTAAATTGGTAAAATTCCCGACTTAACTCCCTTTAGAAATACTATCCTGAGCCTAAGTTAACTATCACACTAATTCTTCCTTCTCTTTTGCTTTGCTGCCTAAGGGCTCCTCCTCCATCTCTGTGAACTCTTTTTCTCTCGTTGTCATAGTAACTCAGGATTCAGTGCTGTACTTGTCTCCAGAGTAACCCTGAAGCTCCCATCTGGTCCCATGGCTAACTACTCCCAAATTTATCCCCTGGGCTGACTTTACTGTTGAATTTAGACTTGTTTACCCAGTACTATTTATTATACCCACTTTGGTGCATCATGTGCATATCCTTCAGTGTGTCAAACACTAAATCCCTGTCTCCCTTTCATGCATACCCGAATTTGTTCCTTCCATAGATTTCCTCAACAAATTACAATAGTTCAAAAGACTAGGACTCAGATCCAACTTTCTTCCCTTTCCTCGCTGCAAAATCTAATACTTCAAAAGTCCTGTCATATATATATTTAATGTTCTGGAATGCAGGAGCTGAAAAGTATATTTAGGTTGGTCCATCACACAACACCAATGGCCCACGTGACTCTTCATTCATTCATGACAGTATTTACTTTTAATGACAAATTGCCATAAACCCACCAATCAGGCAGCTGGAACATTAACAGTGACTGACTTCCAGTTTGCTACACCCTTCTCAATTCTCCCACATTAGAAGTAATTACTATCCTGAAATTCATTCCTACTTGTTTTTATTAGTTTTAACACATTCATATACATATCCCTACACAGAAGCACAGCTTCCTTTGGAGCTGCTTTTCTCCATCCGTGTTCCTAAGTGTGCTGCATGTAGGTGACATTCCTTCATGTTTCTGCCAGGTTCTCTTCCCTTAGATTGACATTTGATTCCCTGCTCCCACCTAGAATATTCTTATCTATATATTCTGGGGTACTTTCTACAAGTACCTCTGTTGAGCATACAGCTGGAAGTGGAGCTGCTGGTCCACACACAAATGTTCAACTTTGCAGATGAGTAGTTTTTCAGAGGACATACAACTGACCGCAGTATGGAGGATTTCACATTGGCTATGCCAGCTGACACAGCTGGCAGCATACCTAAGTGGTCCTATTGATTAAAATCTCTAAAACTTGACTTGTGCTGGGTTTCTCAATTTTTGCCAAAGGAATTTAAACACATCATGATAGCCTTGATTTCCCTGTTTATAAACAAAAATAAAAATCTCTTGATATTTATTTGCACATATTTACTTCTAATGTGGAAGATATCCCAGTCTTTTGCTCATTTTTCTCCTGTTTTTGTCTTACAGGTTTATAGAATTTCTGTATACCATTACTGATTATAAATGTTACAAATACTATCTTTTCATAGACAGTACAGGGGCTTTCTTTATTATGTCTTGTGATGAACGAAAGTTCTGAATTTAAAACTTAACAGTGCAACTTATTTTCTTTTTTTTTTTTTTTTTTTGACAGGCAGAGTGGACAGTGAGAGAGAGAGAGAGAAAGGTCTTCCTTTGCCGTTGGTTCACCCTCCAATGGCCGCTGCTGCAGCCGGCGCACCGCGCTGATCCTATGGCAGGAGCCAGGATCCAGGTGCTTTTCCTGGTCTCCCATGGGGCGCAGGGCCCAAGCACCTGGGCCATCCTCCACTGCACTCCCTGGCCATAGCAGAGAGCTGGCCTGGAAGAGGGGCAACCGGGGCAACTTATTTTCTTTCATGGTTATCTTTTATAGTTTGTTTCAAGTTAAAAAGTCTTTTTTAAATAAGAGGACCAGGAAGACATTCGGCTATATGTTTTAAATACAGCTCATCTATACTCTCAATCACAATTTCACCTATATTTTGTACATAAGAAGTTATAAGGTTTAAGAACGTTTAAAATGGTTTGTGTGTGTGTAGAGTGAGGAAGAGATCCAATTGGCTGCAACAGCCAGAACTGTGCAGATCCAAAGCCAGGAGTTTCTTCTCGGTCTCCCATGAAGATGCAGGGGTCCAAGGACTTGGGCCATCTTCTACTGCTTTCCCAGGCCACAGCAGAGCTGGATCAGAAGTGGAGCAGTCAGGACTCAAATTGGCACCCACATGGGATGCAGGCACTGCAGGCAGTGGCTTTACCCACTAAACCAGAGCACCAGCATACATTTCTATTCAGTTCATAAGTTCCAGGTGAAATATTGGGATTTGGCTTGGAGGTTAACTAAATCTATACAGAGATTAATCTGTAGAGAATAGGGTCTCTTTAAAAAAAATGTTGTGGCCGGCGCCACAGCTCACTAGGCTAATCCTCCGCCTTGCGGCGCCGGCACACCGGGTTCTAGTCCCGGTTGGGGCGCCAGATTCTGTCCCGGTTGCCCCTCTTCCAGGCCAGCTCTCTGCTGTGGCCAGGGAGTGCAATGGAGGATGGCCCAAGTCCTTGGGCCCTGGACCCCATGGGAGACCAGGAGAAGCACCTGGCTCCTGGCTTCGGATCAGCGCGGTGCGCCGGCCGCAGCGCGCCAGCTGCAGCAGCCATTGGAGGGTGAACCAATGGTAAAGGAAGATCTTTCTCTCTGTCCACTCTGTCAATAAATAAATAAGTTTTAAAAAAGACTGTTTAAAAAAAAAATTCTATACTCAACACAAAGCAACTAGGATGTGTAGATTTACCAAAAGGGAAAATGAATATTTAAGCTTAAAAAAGAAAGCCTTTTTGTTCCAGAAATTTGCAAACATAGCTAGAAAATACCTGGAAGCCAAAAGGTTGTTTGCCAAAATATTAAGTTTTTCTCCAGAGAGAATGAAGGGGTTTCCTTAGTTCTTCCTTTTGCTCTTCTGTACTTACTATGTATGTGCCATATAGCTGTTGAATCATAAAAGTAATTTTAACAGTTTCCCCACCTGAGTCGGTTTCACAATTTGAAACTTAGAAGGTTCTATGATCAGAGTGCACTTGGCATGAAGTACCATTCTTTCACCCACACCCCTTCAAACCTCCTCGCACACACCTCAGACTCCTCCTTGATCCTTACATCCCTCCAAAGCCATTAAGGTGCTCGACATAAATAAAGCATGAATACATTACATCAGGCCGCTCAAGAATGCATCTCTAGAATAGTATGAATGCCTTTAATTTACTATATTTAACAAACCACAATTAATACAGGGTTTCTTTCCATTACAGACTGCAGAATGATTAAAATAAAAATCTCCAAATATTTTAGCAGAAATCTTTATTTTTTTATTGATATTAAAGTTTTTATTTATTTGAAAGATAGAGTTACAGAGAGAAAAGAGGAGAGACAGAAAAAGAAAGATCTTCCATCTGCTGGTTCACTCTCCAAATAGCTGCAGTGACCAGGGCTGGGCCAGGCCAAGCCAGGAGCCAGGAGCTTCTTCCAGGTCTCCCACGTAGGTGCCGGGACCCAAGGACTTGGGCCATCCTTCGCTGCTTTCCCAGGCACATTAGCAGGGTGCTGGATAAGAAGTGGAGCAGTGGGGACTCAGACCAATGCCCATAGGGGAAGCCACCACAGCAGGCCACAGCTTAACCTGCTACACCACAGTGCCACCCACCTCTACTTTTTTTAAAAGACAGAGTTAAAAGAGAGAGAAGAGGGGAGGAGACAGAGAGAGAAAGAGAATCTCTCTTCCATCTGCTGGTTCACTTCCCAAATGGCTGCCATGGCCAGGGCTGGGCCAGGCCAAAGCCTGGAGCTTCTTCCAGGTCCCCCATGTATGTGCAGGGTCCCAAACACTTGGGCCATCTTCTGCTGCTTTCCCAGGTGCACTAGAAGGGTGCTGAATTGGAAGTGGAGCAGCTGGGACTGGAACCAGTGCCTATATCGGATATCAGTGTTGCAGGCAGGGGTTTAACCCACTATGCCACAACACCAGCCCCCAGAAATCTTTATTCAAATAAAATATCTCTCTTCTTTGAATACTAATATATATACAAAACACAAAAACAGGGGCTGGCATTGTAGCACAGTGAGCTGACACTGCCTGTAATGCTGGCATCCCATGTGGGCAGCAGTTCCAGTCCTGGCTGCTCCTTTTCCAATCTAGCTCCTTGCTAATGCACCTGGGAAAGCCCCTGCTACTCATGTGGGAGATACAGATGGGAGTTCCAGGCCCCTGGCTTCAGCCTGGCCTGTCCCAGCTAGTGTGGCCATTTGGAGAATGAATCAGAAGTTGGAAGATCTCTTTTTCTCCCTCTCTAAATCCTAAAAAAAGAGAGAGAGAGAGAAAATAAAGTTAAGAGGTACAGAAAGTGAATCCTATCCACTCAGCCTCTCCCTTGCCTCTCAGAGGTTGCTGTGCAGCATAAAAATCACTATTAAATATATTCTGCTGACTCTAGATGCCATGTCTGAGCTCAAAGAGAAAACACACACAGTCAATCTAACATTTATTTATTTGGTGTTTGTTTTTGCAACTAGAAATTACAATCACTAGTACACCTGTAATTCTTTATAGTGTGTTCAACTAAAGAGTAAGCAAACACAGCATAAGTCAGTTAAAAAGAAATCACAGTATTTCTTAGTGTAATTTGCAAAAGAGGAGAAAAGTCTTGGGCCCACTCCTTGGAAATAAATATTGAGTAACCATAAAAATATGCAGTCATTTTTCAGTTGTTCAGAGAGGTTCATGCATGGTCCCACGCCGAGCATCAGAGTTCCTCTTTGAAATATCCCAGCTTTGCCAAGGACATCTCTTTTCTCAACTGCATAACTTCCCAAAACATCTGATCAACTGACAAACAGAAAAGACATGTAAATCATCAAGTACCATTATTTATTTTGTAATGTTTTGCTGAGAATTTCAAAGTTGCTGAAAAGCCAGCTGGGCATGTTCTAATGATATACCTATGCCTAAACTTTCAATACTTCACACAGACTTTTCCCGTGCACTTGTGTGGGCATCCAGGTGTTACCAATAAGCGGTATTTCACCTGTTTTGTCACAACTACTTGTTAGATATGGCAAAGACTATCACTTTAGCCCAAGAAAAAGCAGACATTTTGGTGTCCTGAGTAGACAGTAATGCTGGTGCCTTCAAAGAATCAGAGACACACAATTTGTTAAGTCAACAACAGGAGTCACTGTGCACTTACTCCTCATGTAGGATCTCTCTCCTTAGTGTGCTGTACATTGAGATTTAATGCTATAACTAGTACTCAAACAGTATTTTTCACTTTATGTTTCTGTGTGGGAGCAAACTGTTGAAATATTTACTTAATGTATGCTAAACTGATCTTCTGTATATAAAGAGAATTGAAAATGAATCTTGATGTGAATGGAAGGGGAGAGGGAGTGGGAAAGGGGAAGGTTGCGGGTGGGAGGGACGTTATGGGGAAGAAGCCATTGTAATCCATAAGCTGTACTTTGGAAATTTATATTCATTAAATAAAAGTTTGAAAGCAAAAAAAAAAAAAAACAGGTGAAGGGAAGGGAAGTGAGGGAAATTTAATTATGGCTTATATACTCAAATCAAACTAAGAGGGCAATTTAGAGTTAAAACTTCCCTAGATGAAGCGAACCTTAACCAGACATTTCTATATCAAGGTTTGAGAATGTATAATTTAATTAATCATTCTGGCATTAAGTTAAAAAAATATAAATCTTAAGATCAGGTTTAAAATGTATCATTACTTTACTGGGCAATCAATATGGAACAAATTATTTTTCTTGGTTCAGGAAATGCAAGCTCACAATCTGAAGCTTTTCTTTACCAGAAATTGATTTATTAGGGTAGGAAGGGCTCAGGCTTTAGTATCACGCTGCCTGCAACCCAACCTGACACTTGTCAAACATGTAACTTTGGGAAAGCTGCCAAACTTCTATCCTTTATTCTCATCTATAAAATGGAGATAAGAAGGTCACTTTCATGGAATTTGTTTTAAAGGTTAAATGATATAATCCCATGTAGGTATTTGGCACCTAGTATTAAAATTTTTTTTTCTTCTTCTTATTAAAAAAAAAAAAAAAAGAATCAGAGACACAGAGAGAGAGATGATGCGACTGGGATAGGTTTGTTAGAGAATCAACCTGAGAGGGGCCTCAGCCACAGAGATGCTCAATTGATTCTTATCAACCCAGAGACTTTCCAGCCCTGGCTTGCTAGATCTTGGCCATTCCACTCTTCATTAACACTAACAGAGGGTGAGCAGGAAAAAAGAAAACAAGAGACAATCTGGAAAGCTCGGTAACATTCTTTGTAACAACAGGAAAGGTTTATGTACGGCTCGAACTAGAAATAAATGATAATGTAGATTTCAATTAAGCTCCTGCTGCAAGAGGAAAAAAAGGCTGTCTCCGTATTTCTGACAGTGAAAGGTCTTCGTCTGACACGTGATCAGGTTAGACTGACAGATCAGCAGTTCTCTGCCAGGACAGTCTGACTCCTAGGGTCCGTGTGGCAATGTCTGCATATTTTTCATTGTCACACTTGGGGTTGCAACCGGCATCTAGTGAGTAAGGACCAGGAATGGAGTTAAACATTCTACAGTGCACAAGCCAGCTCCTTCCCACAAAGAACTATCCAGTTCAAAATGTCATACAGAGGGCTGGCACTGTAGTGCAGCGGGTTAAACTGCTGCCTGCAGAACCGACATCCCATATAGCATGGGTTCAAGACCCAGCTGCTCCACTTCTGATCCAATTCCCTGGTACTGTGCCTGGGAAAGCAGTGGAAGGTGGCCCAACTCTTTGGGCCTCTGCACCCACATGGGAGACCCAGAAGAAGCTCCTGGCTCCTGGCTTCAGACTGGTCCAGCTCCAGCCATATTAGCCATTTGGGAAGTGAACCAGTGAATGGAAGATCTCTCTGTCTGTCTCTCCCTCTCCCTCTCTCTCTCTCTGTAACTCCACCTTTCAAATAAATAAATAAGTCTTTAAAAATTGTCATACAGATCGAGCATCCCTTATCTAAAATGCTTGGGATTTTTTTCAGATCTTGGAATGTTCGCATATACATGATGAGGTACCTGGAGACAGCATCTAAGTCAAAACATGAAATTCATTTATGTATCATAGATACTCCATACTCATAGCCTGAAAGCAATATGGGTGCCAGCGTTGTGGCATAGTAAGTTAAGCTGCCGCCTGCGACACTGGCATCCTGTATGAGTGCTGGTTTGAATCCTGGCTGCTGCTCCAATTCCAATCCAGCTCCCTGATAATAGCCTGCGAAAAGCAGAGAAGATGGCCCAAGTGTTTGGGCCTCTGTCACCCCTGCGGGAGACCTGGAAATAGCTCCTGGCTCCAGGTTGGTCCTGCGTAGCCCAGCCCTGGCTATTGTGGCCATCTTGGGAGTGAACCAGCAGATGGAAGATCTCTGTTTATCTCTCCCTCTCTCTCTGTAGCTCTGACTTCAAATATAGAAATATAATTCTAGGATGCCTAGGTTTTGAATACAACTTGTCACATGAGGTCAAGTGTGGAATTTTCTAGGTATGATGTCAATGTCAGAACTAAAAAAGTTTCAGATTGTGAAGCATTTAGGATTTGGGATCAGGGATGCTCAGCCTGTAGCAGCAAGGTCAAGAAACCCTGCTTTAGGTGTGGCTGCACAGATACTAAACAGTTTAAAATCAGGAACACTTGTTTACTATAAACCCACACAGTATACACTGTTTCCCAAATACTGTGAAGTGGAAGGATAACAGAGACCAGGAGGGCAGCGCTTCTATCACCGTCCCCGCCACCTGCTGACACCTTCTGTGTTCACAAAGTAAAGTACTTTTCATCCATCTTCCCTACAAACCTTTTCACCAGGAGAAAAACCCGCTTGACAGTTTAACAACATAGGTCACCCAGTCTCCAGGATAAATCATATTATTCACCATTAGGTATTTAAAAAAGTCAATTTTATTAAAATCATAAAAAAGTGCTACACAGTTTAAAAGACTACTTTTATGCTATGCAGTCTTTTGAAATTAAACATTACTCAGTGACAAGTTTCATTCCCATTCTCTTAGATGTTTTAGACATTAAACTCCTACAACAGAGACTCTAAATGAAATGGGCTTTTTAGAACATAGAGTTTGGAAGAGCTACACTAACTTTTTATCAGCATAGCTGATTTTTCCATAGTATTAAGACTCGCTAGTTAACTGACTGAAACAATGCGTGCTTCTACTAATTTCTAAGCACAAGAATACCTTAAAAAACAAACAACATTATCTCCCATACCTTTGAATTTGAATGCTATTTCTGTTTTAAAACCACCACATGTACTCAGCTAACACTGCTTGGGAGCCGCCAGGCCCTATCAGTTTGTACACCTCACACTGAAGACATCTGGCTGGAAACCATCAGCAATAGTGGAAGACGGCACGCAAAGATTACCGCACTGCCAGGAGCCTCACTCTCCCGGACAGAGGATCTGCACATCCCTGCTGGCATAGAGGGCAGCACCTTGATTCCACCCAGAGCTACCCTAACTCACACGTGGAAGGAGAAAAGACAGGAAAAATCTGCTGTTAGCTCCACCATGGCTTCTATCAAAATAAACTGACCAATTCTAGGGTTTGCTCATTTTTCTCTCTTAAGAAATAAATCCAATGAGCTTTGTACTCTCCTTACATTTACCATCTAGTTTATCACGTCCCCCTTATGAGTGAGAACAGAGCCTGCTTAAAATTCAAAATTAAGATAATAATATGGCTAATACTAAAATTAAACATTTTGAAAGGGATATTCTCAAATTCTCCACACATTTTACTACAACTCTAAAAGTTTAATAAAGTTTATTTGAGCATTACTATGCCCTACACTTACTTTAATGTAAATATTTATAATGAACCAAGAACACTCACCATCCTGCTGTTTCACAAGTCCCTGCTGGATATATCGAATGTATGTAAAAAAGTTACACACAGAAGTGATCTAGGCCAGAAGGAAAAATGTCATGAATAGTTAAATGTTTTATGTTAAAGTGAACATTACTAAAATTCATGGTTAAGTCACTTACCCTATATCTGCAAAAAGGAGAAATATAATAATAGTTGCTTGAGTCCCCTAATTTAATTCTGTGTTTACAGGACTTACTCTGGCCGGTGAGAGCACATTTTCTGTAAAATAATGATAAAATTTCAGCTCTTAATAATTAAACACATTTCCCCCACCTTCTCCATTTACTAAGACAATCACTATTAGAGAACCCCCTACGTACCAGGCACTATGCAAGACGCTGGGCCACAGTGATATAAACGACATAGCTCTGACTTCAAGGGACTTAATACCATAGCACTAACCACGTTCTAGAAACAGAAGCTGGATGTTTTCAATGTACGCCCCATCCTGCAGTCATAAGCTGCAGGACAGCCCTCAGCTTTCCACCAGGACTTCCACTTCTCAGCTGACAAAAACCTAACAATGACTGTTCAAATCTCAAAACATGTAGAGTTAACAGCTTCCAGATGGGGTGTTGTGCGGTGGGGGTTGGTTGGTTTATATGCATTTAATATGGGACTTCAGGGGAAGTACAATGGCATATACCATGTTATAAAAATACTAAATTTTAACAGTTATATAAAGAGTGCACTACATTTCATTCCATCCTTTCAATTTGCATACTACAAACTCTAAAATTTGGTAGCAGGCTTTTCTGGCTTGGATTAGGCTATAAGCCTCTTGAGAGCAAAGACTGGTCTTGCTCATCTTTAAATTCCTGGCACCAAGCATGTGCCTGGCACACAGCAGAACTTCAGTGACTGCTGAATAAATGATGAGCCACCTGTCACTCTCCTGCTCCATCAGACGAAGCTGGCTTGTCCATCAGGCTGGACTTGCAGCAGCCCAGCTGTCACTCGCCTAAGCTAGGAACCTGGCTGAATACAACAAACATTCCTTATCAATGCAAAATGAGCACCACTCACAGTGAAATGAAATGGCCAGACGCATTTTATGACATTATACATTATGTGTAATGTATAATATAAATGTATATGTATTATATAAAGATAATACATTAAATGAACATTAAATCTCAGCTGTACTTACAGGAAATAGGTTACCAATGTGCTCCATATTATGAAAATGCTAGAATGGGCATTTGAAAGGGGATAATTTGGGAGGAACCATTCAAATCACACACTAACTCATTCTTATCTTTCAAGAGATTTTGTCAGGGCTTGCATTATGGCATAGAGGGCTAAGCCTCTGCCTGCAGTGTCAACATCCCATAAGGGTACCGGTTCTAGTCCCAGCTGCTCCTCTTCCAATCCAGCTCTCTGCTATGATCTGGGAAAGCAGTAGAAGATGGCCAAGTGTATAGGCCTCTGCACCCACGTGGGAGGCCTGGAAGAAGCTACTGGCTTTGGATCAGCCCAACTCTAGCCGTTGCAGCCATTTGGGGAGTGAATCAGTGGAGGGAAGACCTTTCTCTCTGTCTCTCCCTCTCACTGTTCCTAACTCTACCTCTCAAATAAATAAAATCTTTAAAAAAAAAGATTTTGTCTCAATATTTTTTTATTAAAAGCATATTCCTTTAATGATATGTAATAATGTTTAACAGCACTATCTTAGGTAGGGCAAAAAACAAATGCAAAATACAGTGTTAGAAGGTCTTGGAACTTCTAAAAGTATACTTTACACAAGAGGAAAAAGAACAATCAAACTCATCAAAATCAATTTACAAACTATTCTTCTAGAACCAGATATATACCATTCACCTACTATATTGTCTAATTTTGAAAGAGCTCTACTAAAGTGGTTATAAGTATCAATTTCTAAAATAATAAAAACAATGCTTCTTAAGTGACCTCATTTTTAAAGTCACTTGTAAACTGGGCATACCCAGTATATTTTTATTTGAGCCAGGATTCAATGCTACGTCTTCTGGCCTCCCAACTCCAAGCAACTCCAACACATAAGACTTCAAAAACTCAGTAGCTCCCGTGAGTCACAGGTGTAAAAACCTACTTTGGTCCTCCACATTCAACTGCAGAAGCTTTCACAAATCGAATCGGCTGCAGCCCCACTGGTTCAATGCTCAGGGTATTGTTTTCCACGGCCTCCAGAACAGCTGAAGCCAGCTTCAACAAAGTGAAAAGTATTAGACTTTATGCTTGCAGGAAAATACCAACGTTGTACTCCACAGTCATCTAATCTTATACATGATTCTTCCCCCAAGTTCCACTAGCTTGGCCTTAGCCAACAAGTAAGAAAGACATCGCATAATCTTAATTTGATTTCTCTTATAATTCAAGCACTGTTATGAAAGGCAATTCAGTTATGGTGAAATAACTTTTCTCATGACCTGGAGGAGGATTAAAGTTATTAATCCCAGTCTCTGTGTCCTCCCTACCTACAACTAAATACCCACTGTTAATGCCACTTCAAAATGAATATTCTAATGCCTTATGCCACTGAACACATGCAATTTTTTTGTGTGTTGGTCATTTATCACATAGCAGTATATGCTGGTTATGGCTATTACTTTCTGAACTTGCACATATGTGCACGAAGTAATTCACTGAATTATCAGATATTAGATCCCAGATGGAAAGGGCACAACCAATAAACAACAAATGAAAAAGGCACACTTCTCAAGCCTGCCAAGATTACGAACACTGAACGGCCCACCTGAATCCAGGCACACGGCCACAAACAACAACACAGATTCCTATCCAAAGTGTTACACAGTTAATCTGAACTTCTTCCTACAAATTAATGTTATAATTAAATCCTTGAAAGACTTAACTAAGACTCTCAGGATTAAATTTCTTCAATACTGACAGGATATTTGTGGATAAACCTTCCACATGCAAGAACAAATTTAATCTTCACATCTGTATAAAATTTTAAAAAATTTTCTATCAACCTAGTACATACTTCATTTTATCCTGTTAACACCCTTGGGACTTAAGCAAAGAGGGCATTATTTTTCATGCTTTAAAGAAGAAGAAAAGAAAAGAAGTGTGATTTCATCATGTACAGATAAACTCAACAAATGCCTTAAGCAGAATGTACAGAGAACTTCCTTATGCTGAATCTTGGACTACGAATCAAAAAATATAAGCCCTACTCCCATAGACATTTCATCCTTCTCTTGAACACAATGCAAGTCTCAGTATGAATGATGCTCTGCTCAAATAAGGAAAGATATTCAGTAATCAAATGCCAAGACATTAGGATCCTAATACAGGACGGAGAAAATGCTTGAGCATGACACTTCATGATAATCTACTTATATCAGATATATTAAAATATGGAACAGGACTTCATAAAACATACAGAATCAAATCTAATGTGTTCCCATTAACATGGAAAAAAAAAAGTTACCTCACTTTTCGAAAATGTCAAACACGGAAAGATATCTTCCTGATAGATTTTGTCTAAGAAAGGACACGTTCTGTCCATTGTTGGCTCATCCTTCCAAGACCTGAATTCATTATACAGAGACAGATCAGCCTAAACAAGCCAAAAGGAAACACATAAAAAAGTTTTAAAAAGTGCAAACAAAAAACCATTTTGTAAAACCAAAACATAATACAAATATTACTAAAAAAGAAATGCTCCTTATTTAACATAATGAACTGGACCATTCTTAATTATCTATAATATACAGTACCAACTTTTCTATAAGAAAACTGACTTTTAAGAAAACTGTCTGATGGGCCTAGTAGTATCCACATAGTATCCATGACGGTGTCCACTGATGCTGCCATTACCCTGTTGGAGCTCCTTTGAAGACACAGGTACGTACTGTTCTGAATATAAAAAAGGATAAGTATTTTCTGAAATTAATGAACAAGTACTTTGGAGTCAAGCTAAATAAAGTAAGAGTGAGACCTGATTTGAGGTCATAAGCTGACACTAATTGTTCTATTAACCTGGAGGCACTTAGTTTAAAAATGCCAAGATGCTTGCTGTGTAGGCAACTAGACAAAAAAGCACACACACAACCTACTAAACTATCTTAAAACTCAGCATTTATTTAAATAGTTCGGTACATCAAGTTAACTACCACCTGAACTATCCACAGAGGCGCCTGCCGGCACTGCCTTCCTAGCCACACCCGTGGCTGGCCATCCCCGGCTGCCCCTCTACAGTACATCTTCCCCAAGTCCTCTTCCCTACAGACCCTCAGGCTCCCTCGGCCCAGATCAGCACCTGCACCAGACACGCCAACCACCCCAGCACAGAGCAGTCTCACTGGTCCTCACACAGCGCCACACCAACCAGGTCCACAGTGCTGGGTGTGCTATAAACGCCCCACTGACAACAGCCGTGGCGGCCTCTCGGACGCTTAACCAGATGTGCAAGCAGTCTACACAAAGGCAAAAGAAGGCTGAGCATATCCAAGCTTTCCTATAGATTTCCTTTTAAGATATCAATGTGAGCTTTTTTCCTCCCAATTCAAATTCCTTGAATCAAAGTTAAGGGTAAGGAATTCCAAGATGGCGGAGTAGGGAGGGTGCTTATTGCTGTAGTCTAGAAGATAGTTTTAAAAAAGTGGAGAGGGGCTGGCAATGTGGTGTAGCGGGTAAAGCCACCGCCTGCAGTACCAGCACCCCTTATGGGCGCTGGTTTGAGTCCCAGCTGCTCCACTTCCAATCCAGCTTTCTGCTGCGGCCTGGGAAAGCTGTGGAAGATGGCCCAAGTCCTTGGGGCCCTGCACACACATGGGAGACCTGGAAGATGCTCCTGGCTCCTGACTTTTGGATTGGCACAGCTCCGGCCACTGTAGCCAATTGGGGAGTGAACCAGCAAATGGAAGACCTTTCTCTCTCTCTCTGCCTCTTCTCTTTTCTCTGTTATTCTCATTTTCAAATAAGTCTTTAAAAAAAAAAAAAAAAAAAAAGGCCGGCGCCGCGGCTCACTAGGCTAATCCTCCGCCTAGCGGCGCCGGCACACCGGGTTCTAGTCCCGGTCGGGGCGCCAGATTCTGTCCTGGCTGCCCCTCTTCCAGGCCAGCTCTCTGCTGTGGCCAGGGAGTGCAGTGGAGGATGGCCCAGGTGCTTGGGCCCTGCACCCCATGGGAGACCAGGATAAGTACCTGGCTCCTGGCTCCTGCCATCGGATCAGCGCGGTGCGCCGGCTGCAGCGGCCATTGGAGGGTGAACCAACGGCAAAGGAAGACCTTTCTCTCTGTCTCTCTCTCTCACTGTCCACTCTGCCTGTCAAAAAAAAAAAAAAAAAAAAAAAAAAAAGTGGAGAGAGTGCAGTCTCAGGGAAGAGTTACGGAGAAACTCCAGCAGCAAATCTGGATTAGGCAGATCGCTGACACCACCCACTCTCCTTCATACAAGCCATGACAGTGTGCTCCCTAGATGAAATAGTGAGATGAAGAAGCCTACCAAGTTTCCAGCAGGTTTTCCACAGTCAATCAGGTGGAGAATGGAACTGACGAACCCCTGAAAGCAGCCAGCTCTAGATAAAGCCTCCCCCCTCTTACTAGCACATATTTTGTACTCAAACCTTTGCCAGTAAAAACCACAACCGACATCTCAGTGCTGAGAACTGAAAGCATGAGGAGAGCCAGAGGGGACAGTCCTTGACGAGTTACCTCTTTGCAGTCTTTTACAATTGGCTGTATCACACTGAGGTCCTGATGACTGCCACTCATGGCACTGCTTGTACTTTTATTCCTCTGATGCCCCTTTTTAAACGGTGTCTTTCCACCTGGCAGAGGCTCCTGTGTAGGCGAGGTTGGAGAACTGGACAACACAAGCGTCTTCAGTGCAGCTACTTCAGCTTGAAGTACATCAATCTTGAAAAGAAACCAGCATCCTCGTCAGCACTACGTGTTTTGTGACAGATGCCCCTACATGTTAGCAATTTGGTCCAAACGCTTTCAAAGATGGAATTTAATTTGTACTTCCTGTGGACTAAGAAGATAAAACCAAGTTTTCTGATATTTTCCTATGATTCAGATTCAGCTAGTACTCACAACGTCAAATAAAATTATCCTATCTTATGATTGGTTCTAGTTTACTCCTAAAACAGTAAAATCTAGTACCACGTAGGTTCTTTTTCTCAGTGAGAAAATAAATATTAACATTAAAATGTGGTCATATAATTCTTTTAATGACACATGTGATACAGTGTTTTAAACCATTTGGTTCTAATATAAATGAACACCGATATAAACTATTTATTTCCCCATGGTAGCTATTTTTTTATATTTTTCCGCAGTTTCCAAATCTAAAACAACTTTCACAATCCGAACAAAATCCAATCGTTTTTTAGATACTAATAATCATCACTAATTTCCGTAACTTCTATACTGTAACAGCAGTGAAAACTTACTTTTCCTTGAGCTTCTTTCAGCTGTTTCTCTGCTGTTGCTTGCTTGACATTCGCTTCCCTCACCATCTTATGAGCTTCCTGAAAAAGTCAACATCTCAAGGCTTGGAAACAGCATTAGCATTTGTTTTCAAAAATCTTTCACCAGATGTCTGTGACTGAAGCAAAAATGCCTAACAAAATATAGCCTGAAAATAAGAATTTAATGTCAACTACAGGAACAGCAGTTGACATAAGACAAACCATTAGGAATTAAAACAGGTACCTTCTCCTAGGACCTATCACTATGCTTGTGTAACTATTCTGAATGTGATGAAGGAAAACAGAAGATGACCCACACGTCAAAGCCAGCTCATCTGAAGTCAGGTTTTTGTAATTTGCTCACAATATACATGAGGGTACTTCATTTTGTGAAAAACAGAATTCAAAGACAAGTTTACTTCGGTACAAAGAAAACTAAAATTCATGCTTATGAAAAATCTTTACATAATTCACAGAAAATATATCATGAAAAAAGCCTTATAGATAGGGTCTTAATTTTTTAGCACCATAAATGTGAAACTCCAGGTATTTAATTATTTTACTTATTTAATATCTATTCATCAAAGATTTACAAGTGACATTTCTTTGTGAATACTGTTCTAGGTGCTGATAATACACTGAGAAAAGAGACAAAACCCCTGCTCTTAAGGAACTAAGACTGCATTCTAATAATCAATAAAACACCAAGTAAGAACTATAGATTTGGAGTTGGTACTGTGGTGCACCAGGTTAAGCCACTACTTTTGATGCCAACATCCCATGTCCCCAGTTGGCTCATGTCCCCAGCTACTCCACTTAAAATCTGGCTTCCTGCCAACGTGCCTGGGAAGGCAGTGGAAGATGTGACTGAGTTCCTGCCACCCACTTAAGGGACCTAGCTGGAGTTCCTGGCTCTGACCTGGGCCAGAGCTAGCTGTTACAGGCATCTGTTGCAGCTACTTAGGGAGTGAACCAAATTACAGATTCACATTCTCTTTCTCTCTGTTGCTCTGCCTTTCAAATGAGTGAGTAAATAATTTTTAAAACAACAGAATTATAGGTTTTATTCTAAGTGTGACTTGAAGTCTTACTTTCTTTTAAGGAGGTGACACGATCTTATCTGTATTTTATGCTGCTCTATGGAATACTCCCTCTGAGGGAGTACATGGATTCAGAGAGCACAGGGTGCTATAATCCCCTGGGATGTAAGAGCTTCTATTTTAGAACTTCAATCTACACTTTATTGAAAGAAGAAAAGGAGGGGAGGCAGGAGGGCCAGGAGGAAGGGAGGAAAGACAGAGGGAAGAGAGGAAGCATGCTTTAATAATTAATAAATACACAGTTGACAATGCCACCCTTACTAGGTCCATCAACTGCTCAGTGGCACAGTGGAAGCTCTCCACAGCAGAATGTGAGTGACATTCCTACTTGTTTATGCTCTTACAAGTATTGTAATAATTGCAGTCTCTCTGTGCCCTTGTATGTGAATATATAGGTCACATCATTTTAAATATGAGAATTTTACTATCAGTGATTTATAATGAAATGAGATTAACCACAAAAATATTCCATGTATGCTGGCTATCTTGGCAAAGCCCTTAAGAACTGTCATATTTAATGATGAGCTAAGCACGTTTCTTTCAAAAATAACAAATGTTTCACAGCAGTGCTGAGTTTTTCTGGAATGATAAATGGTTGTCAACAGATGACTAGTTGGCAGATATTTTTAAAATAATACTAGCTAATCTGGCCCTTCAAGATGAGCAACTCTCTAACTATAAATGCAAAAGTAACTCATGCTATGAAGAGAACATTTGTTTAAATACTTAGAAATGAACTCTGCATACAATTTGGATCAAACTTCTAGCAGAAAACAATTAGAAAAGCTGAGAAGTTTTTTTTTTTTTTTAATGTATTTGGAAGAACTAGAGAGCCTCCAAAGTAGTGATGAATTAGAGGCCAAGATCCAGAAGAATGAGGTGAAATTTGAGGTGATTTACCCCCTTAAATATACTAAGGGGTATAGTGAAAAGGTATAGCATGCATATAACTAGAGTCCCAAGAGGAAGAGAGAATTAGACCGAGGCAAAAGACAATGCATAGGATTTTGCAAATCAACAAGAGACATCAAATGTTAGATTCAAATAAAGTTTGAAAAATTTTCTATTACTCTATTCTTCTAAAGCTGAAAATAATTCACCATTTATATCAAGAGTCAGCAAACGTTTTCTATAAAGGGTCAAGCCTTGGGGCCGGCACTGTGGCACAGTGGGCTAAAGCCCCGGCATGAAGCACCGGCATCCCAAATGGACGTCAGTTCTAGTCCTGGCTGCTCCTCTTCCCATCTAGCTCTCTCCTATGGCCTGGGAAAGCAGTAGAAGATGGCCCAAGTCCTTGGTCCCTGCACCCGCGTGGGAGACCCAGAAGAAGCTCCTGGCTTCTGGCTTCAGATCGGCGCAGCTGTAGCCGTTGCAGCCATGTGGGGAGTGAACCAGTGAATGGAAGGCCTGTCTCCACCTCTCTCTGTAACTCTTTCAATTAAATAAATCAAATCTTTTTTAAAAAAATAAAGGGTCAAGCTTTAAGTATTCTTCAATATAAGCACCACTAACGGTCTCTGTTGAAACTACTCAACTCAGTCTTAGCTGATACACAAATGCATGTGGCTGCCTCAGTAAAAAATTTTATGGGCACTGAAATTTGCATTTCATTATCTTTTTTTTTTTTTTTTTAACATATCCATTATCTCACAGGGTTACCTCTTCTTTTTCTACTGGTGGTGTGAACAATCGGGATGTATCTTCTAAGCAAATTTCAAACATACAATGGTCGCCATGCTGTTATTAGTTAGGTCCCCAGAATTTATTCACTGTGCACAACTGAAAACTTACATCATTTGCCCAGCATCTCCCATTTCCCCCAGCCCCCACCCCCACAAAGTACAAACCTACTCTGTGCTTCTATGAGTTCGACTATTTTAGATTCCACACAGGTGAGCTCGTACAGCGTTTGTCCTTCTTCCTGTGTTTGGCTTACTTAGCATAATGGCCTCCAGCTTCATCCATGTCGTCACAAATGACAGACTTAAGCATATCATGCTTTCTTCCTTCATTCCTAAGTTCTTTTGACAACTGAGAGTAACACAGCAATGAACATAGGAATACAGATAGCTCAGCAAGATCCTGCTTTTATTTCTATGTATCTATAGTCAGAAGTGGGACTGTTGGATCTAATGCTAACTCATATCTAATGCTATCTCATAACTTTTGGGGGAAGAACCTCCTTACTGTTTTCCATAATGATTGTACTAATTTACATTCTACCAACAATGTTCCTTTATTCTGTATTCTTGTCAACACTTGCTATCGTTTATATTTTGATGATAGTGCCTTTAACAGGCATGATGTGATATCGCTTTAGGGTTCTGATTGCATTCACCTGACCACTAGTGATGCTGAGCACCTTCTCAACCATCTGCTGGTCATCTCTATGACTTCTTAAGAGAAATGACTACTCAGGTCCTTAGTTCAGTTTTTAATTTGGTTATCTGGGTTTCTGTTTTTGCCTCTAACTTCCTTATATATTTTGAATATTAACCCCTTATCAGATATATGGTTTGCAAATGTTTTCTCCCATTCAGTAGGTTATCTTTCCATGTTGTTGACTGTTGTGCATAAGTTTACTTTTAAAAAAAAAAATATTTACTTGAAAGTCAGAGTTACACAGAGAGAAGAGAGGCAGAGAAAGAAAGAGGTCTTCCATTCCACTGGTTCATTCCCCAAATGACTGCAATGGCCACAGCTGAGCTGATCCAAAGCCAGGAACCAGGAGCTTCTTCCAGGTCTCCCACATGGGTGCAGGGGCCCAAGGACTTGGGCCATCCTCTACTGCTTTCCTAGGCAATAGCAGAGAGCTGGATGGGAAGAGGAGCAGCCAGGACTAGAACCGGCGCCTATATGGGATGCCGGTAACGCAGGCTGGGGCTTTAACCCGCTGTGCCACAGCACCAGCCCCCAGAAGTGTTTTACTTTCATGCACTCCTACTTATGTATTTCTGCTTTTATTGTAATATCTGAAAAGTCACTGTGCAGACATGCCAGCCGCAGCAGCCATTGGGGGGTTAACCAAGAAGGTTTTTCCCTGTTTTAGTTTTACGGTTTTAGGTCTTATATTTACCCTTTCATCCTATTTGAGTTAATTTTATCATGGTGTGAGATAAAAGCCAATTTCATTTATCTGCATACAGATATCCAATTTTCCCAGAATCACTTTTTTTTTTCCCAGAAATCTTTTACTTAAGATAAACAGGCCAGTGCCGTGGCTCAATAGGCTAATACTCCACCTGCAGCGCAAGCACACGAGGTTCTAGTCCCAGTTGGGGCGCCAGATTCTGTCCCGGTTGCTCCTCTTCCTGTCCAGCTCTCTGCTGTGGCCTGGGAGTACAGTGGAGGATGGCCCAAGTGCTTGGGCCTTGCACCCACATGGGAGACCAGGAGAAGCACCTGGCTCCTGGCTTCAGATCAGCGCAGTGCACTGGCCGCAGCGGCCATTGAGAGGTGAACCAACAGAAAAAGAAGACCTTTCTCTCTGTCTCTCTCTCTCATACTGACCACTCTGTCAAAAAAAAAAAAAAAAAAGATATACAAACTTCTGGGGTTGGCACTGTGGCATAGTGGGTAAAGCCATCGCCTAAAGTGCTGGCATCCCATATGGGCGCCAGTTTGAGTCCCGGCTGCTCCACTGCTGATCCAGCTCTCTGCCGTGGCCTGGGAAAGCAGAAGATGGCCTCAGTCCTTGGGCCCCTGCACTCACGTGGTAGACCCAGAAGATGCTCCTGGCTTCGGATCAGCATAGCTCTGGCTGTTGTGGCCAATTGGAGAGCGAACCAGCGGATGGAAGATCGATCGATTGCGCTCTCTCTCTCTCTCTCTCTCTCTCTGCCTCTCCTTCTCTGTGTAACTCTTTCAAATAAATAAATAAAGCTTTTTTTAAAAAGGTATACAGGTGGCTGGCGCTGTGGCACAGCGGGTTAATGCCCTGGCCTGAAGCACTGGCATCCC